GACCGGTTCACGACACTCACTTTAAAGAGACGTTTCATGTCTCGTTTATAGATTAGATTTTAACCTGACAACCTTTTAACATTGTATTAAATTAGAAATTAACTTCGTATGACTGCTCACCGTATAATTGACCCAGGGACAGGTTGAGTGCTACAGAATATTTCAGATACCTTTCAGACAGCGAAGTTCCCAAGAAAATTCAGAGCCTCCTCCTTGATCTAGACCAGGGCTTTGCTATTAATTAGTATTTATGATCAGGTGCCAGGAATGCTTCCCGTGGAGGGAGGGCTGCCAGGGAGCAGCGTCCCTGCTGTGTCGTGCCCATCCCCAAGGGATGTGATGGAGGGAAGGAGACAGAGGGGACAGGGAAGGCTGCAAGCCCCTGACCCTGCCGTCGGTATTTTAGTGTAATTTCCTGCAGCAGAAATTCCCAAGAAAGGCAAAAATTCAGCCTGGGAACTCACTGACAGATGCACAGCTTCAAATTACATCTGAGCCCAGTGAGGGATGGGGTGGCAATTGATGGGACAGTGTCAATGCCCAGGCACAGCCAGGAATGGCCGTGTGTCCCAAAGGCTGGGGGAACATGTTCCCAAGGCTGATCCTGCAGTGGGAAACACCAATTCCAGCGCTGCCCCTGCTCGTGGGCAGTGTTGGAGGAGCGAGGGCACAGCCAGGCACGGCGTGGGACAGGGAGGCAGCGACCCTGCCACATCCCTGGTCCAGCTCCAGCGTTAGTGACTTGTATCCCGCTGTGTCCTGCCCTTTGCTTCCACCAGGGTAAAGGCATTTTCTGGGATAATTGAAACCTGCTCCCAGCACGTGCAGGAGGCGGGAGCGGGAACAAACCCAGTGACATCAGCCAGAGGAGGCTTCACCCTGGTTGGGCCGGGAGGACTCTTCAGTACGAGCCCCAGCTTACACTTGTATTCAATTTATGTTATGCAACGTCCATATTAAATAAATTTAATATTAATTCTAATTTTTATACACTTTAATCTCATTACGTGAGACTGAACAGCCCCTGTGCCCCAGTTTTCCACCTCAGTAAGGCAGGTGATGGGAGGGCTGGATGCTCTGCCGTGGCAGGGACAGGTGAGGGGCACAGCTGAAGCCTCTTGACTCTTCCCAGTTCTGTTCCCACCAGCTCTGCTCCCACACGTGGGGAGCCACGAGCTCGGAGAGGGGCTCCTGCAGTCCCTGGGACAGGCGCTGCCTCCACAGCCACATGCTTGTCCCGGTGCCTTTTCCATCTGTGAAGCAGGCCAAGCAGTGGATTCAATTATTTTTTCCTAGCACACATAAGCCACTAATCATTTATTGCATTAAAAAACCCCCTCGTCTGTCTCTGCAACTTTTGTTCCCGTTTTATCCAATTAAAACTCAGGACAAAAAAAAAAAGTTTCGTTTTCTCTTTTTTTTTTTTTTTTTTTGCAATCACAAAGACCCGATCTCAGCCCCATTGACTCGCTAATTGTAAGCACTCAGATGGTGGGGTTTAAAGTTACACTTAGCAGCTGTGAAACATTAGGGTGAAGTGATTACAACCTACTGGAGGATACCGAACATTTTTACAATATCTCAGGAGCACAAGGGAAAGACAACAGGAAATGGCGCAAACTTTCCTACCCTGCACAGCAACAAGCCAGAGCGAAGGAGCGAGAAAATAAATGCGGAGACGTGGCGCAGACGTGGTTTGGATCCTCAAAACAATCACTAAGGAAGCCCCGGTGACAGCACCATGGATTTACCCCCTTGCTTGGGCGGTCAGAGAGGAGGGGGAGCTGCACTTTGCAGCAAAACTGCTCCGGGCTTTCTGCTGAGGAAGGAGGACAGAGATCTTGGCAGAATTTTGCCCTCGGTCAGTCCTTTGCCTTCTCCCAGCCTTGTTGCCGGCAAATGTTGTTCTGGGGCTGGGGAAAGCTGCTCAGGGCAGGACAAGCAGGGCCTGTCCCCTTGAGGGATGGGCAGCAGGATGGGGTTTGCCTGGGCAAAGCCCCATCTGGGCTCAGCAAGGCTCAGCATCACCAGCAAAACCACCAAATCCTGAGCCCCATGCACCCTGCAAAGCACTGGGGAACACCAGCCCTGCTGGTTATACTCTGGACTGGTTCTGAGATTTGATTTCATTTGAACTCCAAGCTGTCACATTTGGAGAACCTTTGACTTCCCACTCCTTTTCAAACAGCCAAACATCCCCCTTCCCATGATTTAAGCCCGCTACACGCGTGTGTTTATTACAGAAACCAGGGTAGGATAAGAAAGCAATATTTCATGTTAATTCATGAAATCTGAACTCAACTTTTAATAGAAGAGCCCCACTTTATGCACAGAGTGATATACAGTCCGCCCTGCTTTAAATGAGACGTTTTGCCTTTTGAACTCAGCAGGAGCCCGCTGCTTACTACTACTGGAAACAGTTTAAAAACCTGCCAGTCCGTGTGTCTTTTGGGGCTCTTTGGTTTATATCATGGCACAACATTCTTGCTGGGCTGCCTGTGACCGCCCGCCAGCCCCTGCACTCGAAAACCCGCCAGCCCCTGCACTCGAAAACCCGGCTTTCCAGAAACTCACCTGGAGAATTTCCACGGCAACGGGAGCCGCTCCTCCCAAGTCCTGCGAAGCCCCACGAGCCTCTGGTTGTTTCTGCTTTAAGTGGGGCTTGGATCAGTTCCCTCGGCTGAAAACCTCAGGGCTGAAAAAGTCAGGGGCAAACCTCCCCGAGGAGCAGCTTCTAGACATCATCAAGCAGCAGAAATATTCCCTCTTGGTGCCTGAAAAAGAGTTATCATACGGCTGCTGAGGTCAAGGAGGAGGAAAGGTGGGGTGGCACAAAAGCAAGTGGCACCCCATTGAAATGGGGGGTTTTTGTGTGCAGGCTACAGGCAGGGCCATGGGTGGGAGCAGGTGTGTGCTGTGAGTGAGGAACAAGGTGCAGGGATGTGTTGAGCCAGACCCTACAGAGTTATCGATGAACCAGACCCTATAGAGAGATCAGTGAATCAAACCTTACAGAGTTATTGATGCATCAGACCCTACAGAGTAATTACTGAATCAGACCCCATGGAGTTTTGTTGAATCAAACCTTACAGAATTATTGATAAATCAGACCCTATAGAGTTATCATTAAATCAGACCCTACAGAGTTATCAATGCATCAGCCACTGTACAGTTATTTTTATATCAGACCCTATAGAGTTATCAATGAATCAGACACTATACAGTCATTGTTGCAACACACTCAGTTCTCTCTGGCTCACAGAAGAGCTGGAACTTGGTGGTTATTCTGCTGGGTCATCTGTGAAAGTATCAAATTAAAGTTAAATTAACTGCCTCATAGCAATGCTTTTTTTTTTTTAAGCTCTAGGCTTTCTTAACAGTTTGGCTACGGGGCTATCAACAGCAGGGAATTTAGGACATTCTTTTCAATGAACCAGACTGAAAATATTTTGGTACAGCCCCAGTTTGTAGGGTTTTTTTGAATCTCTTTCCCCCCCCTTTTAAACAAAACATCCTGATTCAAAGGAGCTTCTTGCAGACTGGGAATTTCCACATGGCCATATTGCAGCACTTATAAAAAGTGATTTAATGCCTGCCAACAACAAATACATTTGCAATGACACCACTCTGTGTTATGTGCTATCCTACTTTGTGTGCTCAGTAAGAACCAGCCAAGCTGTCCCAGGCAGGAGGGAGAAGAGCCGCCTTCCTTCCTCTGCAAGAACTTTGTCCCTTCCCCTGCTCCTTGGAAAGCCTGAAAGGAAACAAGCATCACGGTGACAACACAATCCCTTCTGTATGTGTTAATCTGGATTTTGTTTGAACTTTTGGAGCTGACCTTGGCTTGAACTGTGTTAAAAACCCTGACTGGTGTGGACTGACTTGACCCTGCGGTCCCATTTGTGCCAGCCCTGCCCTCAGCCCCTTCCTTACTTCAAGCCATTATTTTACAGACAAAAAGGAACATAGCATTACAGCAGATATAGCCAGCGGAGCTGCAAGTACTTACTTACAGGCAAACTCTCCTCTGATTTCATCCCAAGGAAGTTTTTTTTTTTTTCTGCTTAAGAAAGGACTGACTGAAAACCAAGCAAGAAGCTGAAATTATTGCTGTAAACTCTCAGTTTTTTATTAGCGGTTTCCAAGCCTGGAGAAAACAAAACCTTCTGAGTGGCTGCATTACAGTTAAAAACAAAACAAAACAAAAAAGAAAATCAAGCCCAGGACTGAACTGGGTATTTGGTGTTTGGGGATGGAGGAGGAAGAGGGTGGTCGGTTCTGCGTCCCTTGGCGGGGCTGGTTTGAGCTGTAAGAGTGCGAGAAGATTTGTGGGTTTAGATAGTTTCCTCTCCTCACCATGACTCAAACGGCTTCTATTAAAAACAAGTAGTGGGAAGGAAATTTCATAAGCTGACAGTCCCATCTCACTCTGCTTCTCGACACAAGTTGGCTGAGATGTAGGAATTCGTGTGGTTATGATGTGTGAGCCCAGGACTGTTTTATCAGCAGAGTTATGCGGGGCTGGTTTTGACTGTGCACGTTCCGAAGGGCACGGAGGTTCAGGCTGTTACACAGCTCTGCAAAGCCTCTGATCCGTGATCCCACAACTGAACGGGTGGAGGTGGGTGCTCCCAGCACCTGGTCCTTGTCCCACAGAAATCAGTGGGACAAAGAAGAAGGGCCCCAGCCAAGATGAGGAGCTGGAGCTGGGCTCAGACACCCCCAAGAGATGGGTGTTGGTTATCAGAGGTGCCAAGGCACCACCTAAATATCTTGGGTTTAATATCCCTTATTTTTAATATCCCTTACTTTTAATATCCCTCACACACAGGGATGAGGGAGTGGGGAGGCAAACCCAAGCTAGACTGGCTGCCTAACAACCACTGATGGCTTTAATTAAAGCCCTTGAGTTAGCAAATATGCCCAGAGTCTGGTCCAGGGAGATACACAAAGCCCACAGTCAGCCCAGTAACACTCCATGAACATTGCCATTTAAGCAGTTTCTTGTTTAACTTAGATTTATTCAATGACACATGCATTTCTGGACAGATATCTGAGTTCCAATGAACAACTTTTATAACCAAATATGAGAAATCTGTGACTGCAGTTTAGTCAATTAAGTACGTTTCTAAAATACATGACTAGAAGAAAACCGGAGCAATAGAGAGAATCCTTCCAAAGAACAGAAAAGAAACATTTCCATTTGTAATACTCCTGGCATCGATGAGTATCAGAGGGGAAGGAGGGCAGCAAGGAGACGCGACGAGGAAGGAACAACATTATCAACCCTGTCCACACAAAGTCCTCCAGTTTCCAGTCTCTCCAGTTCATCCATTAATGCTCGGCACTTGCACGAACGGCGAGAGCTCCTCTGAGTTACGGAAATTCATCTCTCAACACGAGGAAAGCAGAGAGTGGCCGTGAGACCGCGCGCCTGACCCAAAAATGGCTTAGGAATATCTCTCCTCACCCAACCTCTTCCCTGAAGACAGCGAGAAAAGAAGCCGCAGGGCTATCAGGATTTGAAGACGGAGCCTCTTCATATTGCACAGGGACACAGAGTCAAGATTTCGTGAGTACAGTTTCAGGAAGGTCTGAGAGTCGTCAATATTCATCAGGGTAACGAGAACCATCCAGCGCCACGGGAGCCGGCAGGTGACGGACACAGCGGGATTGTTTAGGCGGAGAGGCGGCTCCTTACCCTGTCTGGATCTCTCCCTGGATGTTCGGCTAATTTAGGGGAATCCCGTGGGGAACAGGCTGAGGGGCTGGTTTTCGTTAGTCGGGAGGGGGGACCGGTAGCCGTCGAAGTTGCGCGGGATGCTGCCGCTGGTGGAGCCAGAGCTGTTACTCAGCGTCTCTATGCTTCCCTCTCGCTGAAGCTCTGCAAGGGGAGAGAGAGCAGGGCCTGGTTAGTGTTTGGGACAAACCCAGAGTGCCGTTAGACAGGCTCTTAACTGACAAATCCCTCATTGCTCCAAGGTTTGCTCATCATCCTTCTTTTCTGGGGTGATCTGGGAATCACTCCCAGGGGATGCCAGCTCCTGGTTCTACTTCCCTGCTGGGTTCATGGCTCACCTGAGCCTAAGAGGAGCTGGAGGGAGGCATTACCTGCTGCCTGGCAGAGCAGCCCCTTCCCTGGGGTCGAGGCCGCTGAGTCATGACATGTCAGGACTTGACAGTGGGGATGCTCATGGCAGAACTGAGCAGGGCACAAAGAGAACAGTGGTAGATGATGGAACATCTTCCCTCCCAGACATGTGGGAAGGGGCACTGGTAGCAGCACTGCTTACTGATGCTGTGTACCAACAGTGCCTAACCACTGCCATTCTCCACCTTGGGAACACCAGGGACTTCCCACACCCTGTTATCCTGCCCAGAAGGACAACTCTGCTTTTTCAAGTCATGGAGAAAATATCCCCCTTCCTGAGCTGTGCCTCAAAGCAAAGGAGAAAGCAGCCTGGCTGTGGCTCTCCCTCTCTTGGTCACACACACCCAGACATCTCCCCTCTCTGACCTCCCAAAGCCTTTCCTGCTCCCTAATCTCGGAACAGGAGGATTTCTGTGTGTGCAGAGCATCGTTTCCAGCCGTGGCCTCTCTGTGAGCCACTTGAACCCAGCGGTGGCCCCGGTGGCAGCAGCGCTGCTGGGCAGCGTCCCCCCGGCAGCACTCAGCAGTGGCAGGCAGGGTGAGATTAGGCAGAGCCCACATCCACCACAGGAATCCTCTCCCAGACACGCGGTGACAGGGGACAAGAAATATTCCGGCGGGTTGCGACTTCCGTCTGCACAGCCCGGGCTGGGACAGGGACAGGAGCTTCAAATAATTCCTGTGCTGCCAAGAGGGAGAGAGCACCTAAAGGGGCTCCAAGAGAGCTGGAGAGGGACTTTTCACAAGGGCATGGAGGGACAGAACAAGGAGGAATAATGGCTTTAAATTGAAACAGAGTACATTTAGGCTGGATATCAGGAAGAAATCCTTCCCTGTGAGGGTAGGGAGGGGCTGGCACAGGTTGCCCAGAGAAGCTGTGGCTGCCCCATCCCTGGAAGTGTCCAAGGCCAGGTTGCATGGGGCTTCAAGCAACCTGGGATAGTGGAAGGTGCCCCTGAACATGGCAGGGGGGTGGAACTGGATGAGCTTTAAAGTCTCTTCCCATGCTATCCATTCTATGGTTCCCTATAAGGCACAGGGGTGAACTCCTGGAGGAGACAGGCAGCTTTCCCTGTCTCTGCATCCCGAGTTTTGCTTGGCCGGGATGCAAAGGAGCTGGTGGAGCTGGAGGAGCAGTGCCCTCTCTGCTCTCTGCAAAATATTCCTGCAGCTCTACAACTTCCACTGCCTCACCTGGGATATTTTACCTCCTGTGAATGCCCTGGCAGTCCTTTTGCTACAGTGAGACTATGTGATAAGGACAGATCTATATATAAAGTGCATGGCAAAGCAAAAAGTCAGTTCTTCCCCAAACCAAAGAGCATCCCACCTTCCCACCCCAGTATCCTCGGACACTGCCCTACTCCCCTCACCACCTGAGCACTGCAGGGCAGCAGCCAGGCAAGCACACACCTAGCAGTGAGGGCTGTGGGATTTAATCCCTCATCCCGGAGGTAACCTGTGATGGAGATAATCTGCCCAGGATACAAGGGAAACAAATCAGCAGGAAGCTGGTCACCCTGTGAGCAGCAGTGAGCACGACCTCGGCTGTGTTCACCACCATGCCTCGCCAGTACTGGGTGAAGGAATGTCCCTGTCTAAACCTCTTCATTCTCCTCACATCCTTACTCTCCCATGAGTTCAGGAAGTAAAACCAGTAATTTAAATCAGAACTGAGTGGCGTATCCCACACTAATGCCGTGCTTATCCTGTCTGATTTGGGGCTTTTATCTCCCTCAGCACACAGCTGGCTTTGGTTAGACATCCCACGTCAGAGCTCGGGGCGCTGGGCTCCCCCAAACCCGGCGCAGCTCCTCGCGGGGGGACTCTGCTCTCTCTTCAAGCTATAATTGATTTTCGGGCAAATGTGTTTCCAGTAACCGTGGCTGAAGAAGGGAGAGGGACAGAGCGAGGAGCATTTGTTCCCCTGTGGATCCTGCGTGGCTGTTCCTGCTCCTTGGGGCTGAGCTCCTGCCTGTCCGTGCCCACACCGTGTCCTGCCTGTCCCTCGGTGCCCTGTGCGGGACCGCACACCCTGCCGGGATGGGATTTGGGGGAATTCGGGCTTTTCTGGGGTCTGCAGGATTTCTGCAGCCGACAGTGCTTGTCACCTCTGCGGGGGCCTGCCAGGGGGTGGCACTGCAGAGACTGATGCCAGCCAGGGAAAAAGCCTGGATCAAAAATCAGGGGGAGACAGAGCGGGTGGGCGCAGGGCCTGGACATGGTCCCATCCCAGCTGTGTCCCACAGCTCTGAGCTCGGCCGCCCTGAGCTGCCCTTGCTGCTGCCAGGCAGGAAAACCTGACAATTCATGACAGGGAGGGACAAAACAGAGGGTACGGAAGGTGCAGGGGGTCAGGAGGAACTGGAGGGGATGACATCCAGCCCTCTGGCCCCCTCTGGGTTCAGAGAGTGCCAGGCTAAAACCCGAGCAGCTCCCACATCCGAGCTGCCACCCCAAGCGCTGCGGATGGGACAGCCACGCATTCCCCATGGAATACGAGTCCGGGCTCTCTCAAACAGCCCGGCCCTGCAAACTCTGGAACTCATTAGCCAGCGAGGCAGACGAGCAGTGTATTTTGATACCCAAGGAAGCCCTGTAAAAGTGCCGAGCGCTGCCGCAGAGACACCGCCGTGCTCAGGAAATTGGGCTCTTGCCCTCACCCTCGCCCGGCGCTCGAGCACGGCGGGGTCACGCCAGGGGGGCAATTAGCCTTTACATGGTCACCAGGGACTACCTGCCCGCACGTCTGACCCCCTGCATCCCCGTCAGCACGTTTGCCTGCATGCCCCTAAATCGGCCTGCTTCATTAATAAAAAAGAAAATTTAACAAATCCCAATACTTAATATTATTCTTTCCCCCAGCCCTTCCAGCAGACCAGGGCACGGCAGAGGGACATCGATGCCATTCCCATGGGAAGCTCAGACAAGGCTGGGAATGGCTCCATGACATGGGGACAACCCTCCTATTACGGACTAAAAACTGGAGGATGATTTCTGATAGACCCGATGCCCAGAGAGACCCAACAAGTGCAGAAGAGCCACCACGGTGTAGTGGGGCTGTGAGTACCAGGAGAAGCCAGTCCCTAAAACAAAAAGCAGCACCTTGGGATGGAACAGCCAAGCCTCGTGGCACAGCTGAAAGGGGCTGAAATACCTCCCAGACCTCAAGAAGACCCATCACACAACCAGTCAGACCACTGATGCCCTCTGTGCTGGGAACACGCTGCTGGAAAACACAAAACAGAAGCAAACCCAAGGATCCCCTCATGGAATGATGGGGCTGAGGGGCAGCAGAGCCCAGAGCAGCAGGATCAGGGCTCAGCATCGTGCCAGCAGAGCAGGACATGGCTGCCCAGCAAGTGATTTCGTTTACTCCGGTGGAGTTACGCCAGGAATGGACTTGGCCCCAGCATGTCTGAGGGTTATTGTATCTGCATTCCCCCATGCATATACTGTCGAGATGTATTAACTTCCTTAAATGTACCAGTAAAACAACCTCTTATGATACACTTTAATGAACTTGTACAGTAGCCAACAAATTGTGCATCATATAAAACCCATTCGGCCTTATAGACTCTCTGGCTATTTTGTAATAACTGCAATTTGCTTCTGCTGAAGCAAGATAACCAGGGTTGAGAAGTCAGGCTTTGCAGAAACCTAAATATTTGATTTGGGGGGGAGTGGGTGGGAGAAGGAAGAAAGGGGCCTCTGGGAGCTATTTATGGGGTCAAAATAACATGAGACCTGCTCTTCTCGTAGCATTTCCACCATCAAGGAAATGAAATACTGTGAGAAGACCAGCACTTGCATTATTTTGGCCCCATAAATGGCTCCCTGAGGCTTTCAGAAGCCCGTGAAAAACAAACACAAATACAAATAAATGCTAATACTGGAAACGTAAATACTAAAACCTGCCCATGTCCCCGGAGGAAACGACTCACAAAGTCCTGACTGCCCTAAAAAAAAAAAAAAAAAAAAGGGAAAAGAGACGAAGGAGCTGGAACATCTGCTGAAGCCATGAGGAGAAAGTCACTTCAGGGGAGCTGGGAACAGCCCTGCCTGCGCTTTTGACAGTAACAGTAATGGGCACCGCTGGCATCACCCAGGGTCCCAGGGTAACGGGGATTTTCAGGGCACACGCGCTCTCCGCCGTGTTTTGGGAGGCAGCAGCAAAACTCCTCGTGGCTGCCGGTGTGGGGAGGGAAGGTGGCACAGCCAGTGGCCAGCCGGGGTGCCCACCCCACCCCAGGGGAGCCACCCCATCCCATGGCCCCACACCATGCTCCAGGGCTGTGGGAACATTTGGAGAGCAATGGGGCATGGAAGGAGCTGCAAGCAGATGCTGGTGCTCCCTGCCTGGCAGTGCTGCCTGCAGGCCTGCCCGCAGCCCGGCACCGGCACGGCCCTCCCGCGGGGTGGATGGTGCTCCAGGAGAGACTGAAAATGAAACCTCCCAGGAAACATTGCTTGCTGCTGATATTCCCGACAGCCACGCTGTGGCCAGACTGTCCTGTCCCTTGTTCTGCTGCCTGAGCTGGCTGCCAAGGTGGAGGGGAGGAGGAAGAGCAGGAGGAGCTGTTCAGGGGACAGCCCGGGGTCTGCAGGCCTGGGGCAGCAGTGCCATTCCCTGTCCAGCCAGGCGGCTGCACCCTCAATTCCAGAAAGCTCCAGGGACTGTCAAAGGACTCTGACAAATCCAGAAAGGTACAAAGCCCTGCCAAGCTTAAATG